ATAATGCTCTGCAAGCAGTTCCTTGCTGGGAGTCACAGACGTGGCCATCACAGCGGACAGCTGCTCGCGGAAGAGCCCCCGTCACGGCACGTCAGGAGGCATCTTTACGAACTGACNTCTCAAGTTATGTAGACTCCCGCCCTGTGAATGCCGTCCTAGGCACACAACCACCGGACGTGGACGGGACAGAACTTTGTCTGCCTCGGGGGACCCGCACTACAATAGCCCAACTTCGCTCTGGCTATTGCAGCAGGCTCAACTCCTACTTGAGGAGAATCAACGAGGATGTGCCCAACCAATGCCTGGCATGTGGAGAGACGCCACATGACTCCCGGCACCTCTTCACATGCCCTGAGAACCCCACTGGAAAAAATATCAATATAACACCTATCGACCTTTCGACATTGCGGCAAAGAGCCTTGCTAATTGCAACAGGGGAGTTTAAGCAAAGAAACATTGGCCACAGCTCAATAACCAAAGGGCATGTTGCCACCACGGATTACATGGTACCTTTCTGTAGTGGATAAGGAGTTTCGGGTTACTATCGAAGAAAACGGATGGAGTAGGGCATGAAGCCTAGCCGGAATACTTTTTCCTTCTTCACAGACGGCTCAAAAATGAATGGTGGAATAGGAGCGGGAGTGTACTTTTCAGAACTTGGTGTTCGTCGGCCAATCAAGCTGCCGGATCATTGCAGTATATTCCAGGCAGAGTTTTTCGCAGTGAGAAAACCCGCTGAGCTAGCCTACTCAATGACTGAAAACAACTCTACGTAGATAGTCAAGCAGCGATTAAGGCTATAAGTTCACACCAATTTACGTCACAAAATGCCCTTAGAAGCAGGGAAGCCATAAATGGGGCAGCAGCAACCAGGCGGCTGGCTGCATATTTATTGGGTCCCCGGCCACAAGGGCATTACAGGTATCGAAATTGTGGATGAGATTGCCAAGAGCGGAATCCACTTGGCTCTAGAATAAGTGAATAACATTCCGAAAACGCTTAAAAATTTTTATAACGAAATAGACCAGAGGGTGAAAAAGCAGACCATATCGAGATGGAATGCGCTAAAAACCTGCAAAATCTCTGAAGTCATGTGCAGACTGGAAAACGAGACTTAAACTCGGTTTATACTATCGCTGGCACAAAGAGACTGCATAACTATAATAGGTGTCCTAACAGTGCAGTTTGCAGGAAATACATTGGGACGGGAACAAGGGAGACCCTAGAACACATCCTACGCCATTGTCCTGCTGTATCAAAAACACCATTGAAATATCTCGGAGCTTCAGAATTTAATCGTCTTGAAGACGTGACAACTTGGGCTTCAAGCACTGGTGAAATTCTCAACAGGCGTAGACATCCTAAATGATGTATACTTCGAATACATTTAACTGAACCTCTATCTCCATTAGGCATCACTAAGAGACCTATTGGTCTATGTGGGGCGCTCAGCCAGCCAGAATAGCCTAACCTAACCTATTTAAAAATGCGTTGAAATAAATACATCAAAAATATTTTAGGAAATAGCCTTATGTCCATATAGACCGAGCTACATATAGTGCACATTGCTTCTGAAAACAGATTTGAATACAGTTTAAATAATACATATTACAAAATCCAGCACCTGCCATATATGATAGGGCCATAAGAACTTATTCGATTTAATCGCCTGTCATTCACTTTTCAGTGCTATAACTTCATCAGTAACGCGAGTTATTAAAGGGTCGAGGACGTTATACTCTAATTTCGAGCTCCATAAGTTCCGCAATGTGTTTACAGCATTTTCTTTGGGCGTGCCTGAAAAACATAAAATGAATTTATTAAAATTGCTAGCAACCCTGCCAGCAATTGGAAGAGAATTTTATCGCCTATCGCCTATTTACAATTTACGCGAATTCATAAATTTACATTATTTAGCATTACAAATGAATTTCAATAAACATTTTAAGTTGCAATAATACATATTTGATATAAACCTTAAGCAAATACTTCAAAGATGTATGATTTTTATAAATTAAAGATGCAACTTTAAAAGAACTCTTCAAAAAGGCCTTCTGAAGTACGTCCCATAAAATCCCTTCTGGAAGGCCTTCCATGAGTAGCGAAAGAAGAAGCCCTTCAATATGTACCACTCGATACAAAATAGAATGGAAAAAGGAATGTAGAGAAGGCCTCTTGGCTCTCACGAAGGCCTTTCGGAAGGGCTTTTAACTCCTGAAATTATCTACTAGCTGCAAGCACAAAATTTGCAAATGCAATTCCAACTGCAAATCCAAGACTATTTCCACAACATCCAGAACAGTCCTATATATTAACCAGTACCAAATAGAAATACAAAGTGCAGTCAAGTCAGACTCCATTTGATATTATTTTGCCAACGCCAGCAGAATGCAGTACTTTAAGGGCTATGGAATTGTTATTTTTAAGTACGACGTGACATGGGAAGTGAAGTTGTACATCCATAGCTTATGTGTTTTGTACTCTTTGAGATTATGTAGTTCATTGTGCCATACGTGAACAAAAGCCAAAATAGAGTTAATGCAGACAAATACATGAATTGCTTACATTTAAATTTTCAAATAAGCATACGTCATATGTGACCTGGTCTACGAAAAGGGAGCTTACGTGCGAAAACTAGTTTTCTGTGAAAAAAGCTGTTAAAAGTAAGCAACTCGTTTCGTCAGTTTCTCATTATCTCGTTAATTGTTCTCCGCGCCGGACGTCCAGTAAGTGTTGTTGTTGGTCCAGTAAGTGTTGTTGTTGGTCGGAATATTATTATAGTTCATCGTGTAAGTTGCTAGTGTGGAACATTTAAAAAAGTAACACTGAAGAAGTGACGTTTACTGTTTCTGTTGATTATCGTCTTCGCATTTCGCATGAAATGAAACATGAGTGTTGATGAGGAGTTCAGTAGATATTGTGGCTCCATTGCCGAAAGATCGAAGAAACGGAAGGCAAAAACTAGTGAAGATGTTCTCAAACCAGACGAGGAACCAGGTCCATCTTCCTCAGGATCAACACGTAAAAAGATCTCAAGGAAAACGACTACAAAGAAAAATACATAAACTAGTCAGCATTGTTATTTTTGGCCCATAATACCCATTGGCCCATTTTTGTCGAAATAGATGCTTATGTCAGTATCGCTTTCGCATCATAAAGACGTGACGCTTTGGTGGCACAGTTCTTCTCGAAAGCGGATAAGAATTCGAAAAAGTACCGATATCACCCAAGAATGATAGAATCCCTCAATCGTGGATATCACCGGCAACGAGTTTTACAGAAATGTCGTATCGAATTAGTTAATTTAGCTATAGAAAATGCTGGCAGGGAATATTATTATAACTACATTCATACGTTATATTATACATTGCTGGATAGTTACCTATTGAGGACGGTGTAACTAATGTGAGGTATATAACCACTCCTTCAGCGATTGGTGTGTGTACATCGCAGATGAAGTGCAAAGCACGCGCTGCCTCTACGGGTATCTAAAAAAATTTAAAATTTACCTTTAATTTCCGTGCACATTGTGATATATGTACGTATGCATGATACAAATACCTTATTCAAATGGGCAATTAGTGCCACATGTCCCTTCTTTATTTTATTTTTGAATTTCTCAATAGCATAGCCATAATCATCAGTGGTAAAATCATTTTCACTCATCTCGACTAACTGACCACCTTAGAATTAATTGGATTTTTAAATACAGATAATTTTTTTTTTTTTTAATGAAGGCACACACCGAAGCAGGTTACTGTATCAGAAGCAATATTTTTTACTAATGCTTGCATATCTCTACTTCCCTGGTGAAGAAAAAGATACACAGCCGGTTTTGTGGAGCGTTCATTCAAAATATGTTCTATATTTATAGAAAGCGTTTGCCACATTTTTTGATCCTGCTTTTGATGTCTTTGACGTAATTCATTGTATGAACATGTTTTCTCTGAACGCGGTAGCATTCTAAACACCAAGAATGCCAAGACTATGGCTACTATGGCCACTATGACTGCTAGGTAGGTTACACAACCCGTTTCGATACGATCCTTTGTATCCTCCGGCGCCTTTGCGCAGCTCTCGTCACTGGCTTCTGCTTCTATTGAGTTACCGTCGTAATTCTCATCAGATGTATCCAAGTGCTCATCATTGTTTACTTTCCCATTTGGTTCAGCGGATTCAGAACAGCGAATCCCTCGTCTCGGCTTTGGTGAACATGGACGAGATGACATCTCTAAAGTATTTTATACTAACGTAAAGTATCTTATACTAACTAAATTCCAATTAATTTAATTAATAAATTGACGACAAAAAAATACAATGCCGGGTTAGTACCAAAACATGCCTTGTTATAGAAATGTACGAAAAATATCAGATTGGTTTTCGATATATCGTACAAAATCGATGTATTCGATAACTGTGAGTTACACGATCAGGAACATGGGCTTTGTTTCTTTTCTTTTCTAGCAGGAATAAGAAGAATGGAAAATTGAGAAAATTACGCGCACAGTGAGCGAAATAAAGAAATAGTAAAGAAACGTAGAACTAGCAAGTAAACAGCTGATGTTGTTGTTGTTGTTGTAGCGGCTACAACAACCCCGCCCAGA